TGGGGGTCTCTGCAAACACCAGGGCCAAGAGAGTAAGGATCTGTGAGGGGCAAGAAGGAAATCCAGTTCAACACGACTCAGTAGCCGGTGTTGGTTCAAACTTGTAGAGTCTGACTGTGGCAGTCTATTGCAGGCACAGTTAAGTACAGTAGTTGGGGAGGGTCTCCTGCTGTAACAATTCCCCTGTGCACAGCGAGGCATAATCACATCAAAACCCTTCTCAAGCACATGTCACTTTTCCCATGGAGATGTGTTCTCGAGACAGGCTGCATGGGTTACCTTAGGGCCCTGGGGAGGATCCGCTGTGGTCTTGGTCATACAGGGAGCACAGAGGTTTAACAGATATTAACTACATCCTGTCCTTCTTGTGAGATCCTGGGGGAGCCAAGTATGGCCTATCCCTACAGAGAGGACTGGGGTCACCTAGACTATTAGCCACATCCATTCCCAACCTTCTGGGCAGAAGAGGTATATGTCTATCTCTTCTGGTAGAAGGGTCACCCCTGGTTAACTTTTCTGATTTTCCTAGTACTTTTCAGTGAGCACAAGGATCTTTGTGCTCCCAACACAGAGCAACATAAAATAGACTAGGACAGCACCCAAAAGAGCTAAGAATTACTGGTAGAAGGTTTTCCTAGCATAGGCAAGGCCCTGAGTTCAACCCTCAGCATTGCAAAAAGCAAATACCAAGAGCAAAGAAAACTGAGACACTATGTGAGCACAGCCCTTCGGGAGTCTTTTAAATCCTCTGTAGACATTTTTCTTTCTTTCTTTTTTTTTTTTTTTGGGACAGGGTTTCATTGTGTAGCCCTGGTGGCCCCGCAACTCACTCTGTAGACCGTGCTGACCTTGAACTCAGAGAGCTGCTTGCCTCTGCCTCTGGAGCGCTGGGATGAAAGATGTGTGCCGCCACTGCCTGGCTCCCCTTAGGAAGACTTGAGAGGCCTTTGTATACACGGAGCAGGAATTACGTGGGGACAGAGCAACGAGAGAATAGGTGTGGATAGAAATGCAGACGACAGCTTCTGGTTAAAGCATTGTAGCAGAAGAGACGCATGGTAAGACGCACCTAGCTAAAGAAGGAAGCGTTAAGAGAAGCAGAGGTGAGGGGTGTGGGGCTGGTTCACTGGGGCAAATATTTTCAAAGGGTGACATCACGAAAGAAGGTTATGGAACATAGCTCTCTGGATTTGCATCGATCTGTGTTCAAGCCAGGAGCTAGGACTCAGGTCTCTTTGTATCACTGTCAATGTGTAGTAAACATTTTCTATACTAGGGCCCAGGTAGACGGCTCAGTCAGCGCAGTGATGCCTAATCTTGGCTGCCAACTTGATTACATTTGGAATTAACTTACACTCAAGCAGCTGGGCACACCTGTGGGGGGATTTCCTTGAGCCTTTGAGGTGGGACTCAAAATCTGGGCGGCACATTCTGGTGGCAGCCCACACAAAAGGACATGAAAGAAGGGAGTTTCTGCTTTTTGTCTGCTTGTCCTCACCCTCTGTGGCAGGTTCATCTATCCTGCAGCTGATGAATTTCTTTGTCAGTATTAGAATCTACTTCTTCAGGATGCCAGTGTAGACTGAAGACCAGTGAGCCACCCATCCTCAAGGACTGAAAGACTACCGGATCCTTGGCCTTTCTTTTGAGAGGCAGCAATTGTCGGGTTAGATAGACCACAGCCTGTAAGCCATTCTAATAACTATCCTTTCCCTTCCCTCCCCTGTCTTCCTCTGTCCTCCCCTGCCCTCCCCTCCCCTCCCCTTCCCATCCCCCTTCTTGAGGAGTATTCTGTGACTTTTCCTGGGAAGGAAAAGAACAGATGCCTATTTATCCAATACAGGACACCAATGGCAGACCAAAGAAAAGATTCAGTCCCAGTGTAGTTCAGGGAACTAGTGACTTTATTGGGATTATCTGAGAACACGGGGCACGCAAAGGCAGCTGCATAGCCAAAGTTCACCTTAGATGTGAATGACTCAATTTTCAGGTGGTTCTGCCAGCTCTATAACTTTCCTCCCCTCGGCAACTGTTAGCTGCCTTTATAACCCGAGGGAGGGGCTTTATGGATCTTATTCTGCGACTCTCTGAACCCTCCCCACCCCCACCCCCTGTGTGTATGCACGCATGCGTGTGCAGGTGTGTGTAGAGCCCAGAAGTCAGCCTCAGGTGTCATTGCTCGTTCTACCGTGTTTATTCTCTTTCCTTCTTTCCTTTCTTCTCCTCCTTCTCTCTCTCTCTCTCTCTCTCTCTCTCTCTCTCTCTCTCTCTCTCCCTTTCTTTCTTTCTTTCTTTTTTGTTTCTTCCTTCTTTGTTATTTTTCTAGATTTATTAGATTTTATGTTGTATGTTTGAATGTTTCGCCTGCATGGATCTAAATGCACCACATACAGGCAGTGCCCATGAGTCCAGAAGAGGGCAGCCGATTCCCTGGAACTGAAGTTACAGAAGAGCTGCCCTGTGGGTACTAGGAATCCAAGCTCGGTCCTCTGCAATGGAACCAGCTGCTCTTAACTGCTGAGCGTCTCTCCAGCTCCCTACCCTGGTTTGTTTGCTGTTTTGAGACAGAATCTGTGGAGCCTGAGGCTTGCTGGTCAGTAAGCACCTGTAGTCTGTCTCCGCCTCCCCAGCACTGAGATTCCAAGTGTGTGCTGTCATGCCTGGCTTTTTATACACAGGCTGGCACTCAGACTCAGGTCTTCAAGTACTAACACCTTGCTGACGAGCTGTTTCCCCAGCTCTTACGTTTCTATGCTTTCAAAAGTGGTTGTGAATCATGAAATGCCAGTATCTTTTGCAAACACAGGAGTCTATCACATGATTGGTGAACATATTTACTATCTTAGTCTATCACACTGTTGATGAACATATTTACTGTCTTGGTTTAGTATATGGTTAATAAACATATTATTGTCTTGCAGGATTCCAGCAAGATTTCTGTATATCATCCAGTGAGTGCAGATGGGTGATGATACTTCCCATTCTCCTCTCAGTCAGCCCTTCCTTCATTCTTCCCTCCCTCCCCACTCTCCTCTCTGTCTTTCTCAGGGTCTCATGTAGCCCAGGTTGGCCTCTGGCTTAGCTGTGAAGACACCATGACCAAGGACCAAGGTCACTCTAAAAAAGAAAATGTCTCAGTTAGGGTTATTATTGCTGTGATGAAACACCTTAACCAAAAGCAATTTGGGGAGGAAAAGGTTTATTCAGCCTGCACTTCTAAATCTCCGTTCATCACTGAAGGAAGTCAGGACAGGAATTCAAACAGGGCAGGAACCTGGAGGCAGGAGCTGATGCAGAGACCGTGGAGGGGTGCTGATTACTGTCTTGTTCCCTATGGCTTGCTCAGCCTGCTTTGTTAAAGGACCCAGGACCAGCAGCCCAGGGATGACACCACCCACTATGGACTGAGTCCTCCCCCATGAATCATTAATTATGAAATTGCTCTACAGACTTGCCTATAGTCTCATCTTATGAAGAAAGTGTTTAACTGGGGACTTGCAGTTTCAGAGGGTTCATACTTGGTCATCACAGTGGACGGTACTGGAACAGCAGCTGAGAGCCACAGACAGCAAGGAGAGAGAGAGACAGAGACAGAGAGAGAGAGACAGAGAGAGACAGAGAGAGAGAGAGACAGAGAGAGAGAGACAGAGACAGAGAGAGGAGAGACAGACAGAGAGAGAGACAGAGAGAGAGACAGAGAGACAGAGAGAGAGACTGGCCTGGTGTGGACTATTGAAGTCTCAAATCCCACCCCGAGTGACACATCTCCTAATTCCTCTCAAATACATATATCAGCGGAGACCAAGCATTCAAATATTCTCACTCAGACCACTGCAGCATCAAGCTCACTACTGCAGCCTAGGGCAACTCCGAGCGATGACTCACTTGTCTCTGTCTCCTGGGTACTGGAATTGCAGGTGTGTACACCCACCATGCCTGTTTATGCGGTGCTGGGGATCAAACACAGCTTCATGCATGCTAGGCAGGCATTCTAGCAATTGAACTATACTCTAAGCCCTTGTTTTCTTTTTCTTTTAAATTTCAAATATATTGGTGCACAGAGTGCACACAGGATGGGGGTGGATGTAGGGATTTTAATACTGGATAAAACAGGATCCAGGACTAGTGCTTTTAAGCCTGAAGCATAGGTTATTACACCGATCAAAGGCACGCCGCTGCTGGTGATGTAATCACAGAGCATGATTTGGGGTGTTTGGAAGGCCACTGATCCTGTCCAGGGGTAATGCCTTCATGGAAGGAGTTGCTTAGAGACAGTGGAGGGTAGTCAACAGAATAGAAACTTCTAGAGAAGTAGAGAGGAGGAGAAGACAAATACCACAGGAATCTGAAAGGGTGCCTCTATGCCTCCTGCTGCTCCAGGTCGATGCTGGCAAGCCCTTCTCCTTGAATAATGTCTGAGAGGGCTCTTAGAGCCAAAGAGCCAGGCCCATGGCTGCCCTCTGGTGGACACTGGTGGACAGTGTGACTTGGGGTAGGGGCTGGTTGGAACACGATGGCTGATGGGGCAGAAGGAGGCTTGGTTGACCAGGACATCCTGGGAATCAGCTCAGGTCTCTCTGTCCTCCCGTCTCCTGGGGGTCCTTGGACACGGCAATACAGAACAGAAGGTGGAAGCCCCTGGTTTTGCCCCTGTGGGGTTTGGTCACATCCTTTACCCCAGAGTCTCAGTTCCAGTGCTGTGGGGTGTGATCAGAACAGCTCCCGAGGAGCCTGGGTGCGTCCTGTGGTTGGTGCTGTGCCAGGCACACTATGCACTGGTCCCACGTCAACAAAAGATGAGGGTTGCGGATGCTCTGACTCCTGGATCAGGATGGGGATGACCAGAGGACCCCAGAGCATGTGGCATGTGGGGAGACTAGGGTCTCCGGACCCAGGAGCAGTGGGGGTGTTATGACTCTCCCAAGGCTGCAGGGCAGGTGTGGAGGCTGGGCCCCACCCAGGGCAAGCCCAGAAACTACCACAGACCTGAGATCACCTTCCTCCTTCCTGGAGTGTCGTCTGGAAATCCCTGGCCTCCAGCAGGTATATCATGGAGCTGGCCCTACCTGCCATCCTATTTATCCTGTTTCCTGGAGCCCTGCTGGGGAGCGAGAACCCCACAACTGACTCCTACAGCTTGTCCCCTACAACAGACAGCCCTAGCACTCCCCTGGATTCTGGTAAGATGGGTGGGTGAGGAGCAGTAGCTTCAGGAAGATGTGTGGAATGAGCGTTTTGTGGCTAGGATGTTTGTTTTTGTTTTATTTTTTAGTTTTCTTCTGTGTATTTTAGTTTTGAGACCAGGTCTCATTGTAGCCCAGATTGGCCTCTACCTTATTATATAGTCAAAGCTGGCCTTCTACTGATCCTGATCCTCCTGCCTCAGCCTTCAAGTCTTAGGAATACAGGAAGGAGCCAGCAGGAGCATGGGTTTAGAGGCAGACCCAGAGAGCTGTCTGACTCTGTTTCCTTGTGGCCTTGTATGAGCAGGTGCTGTTAGGGGCCAGGCATCGGGGCATCCTCTGGCCTACACTGGTCAAATTTCCAGGGGTTGAGACAGATGAGCCAGGTCTGAGGGCATACGGGAGGGCAGATGGCCCTGTGTCACCCATTTCTGATTTTTTTTTTTCAGTGTGTGGACGTCCCAGGGCTTCAGGCCGCATTGTGTCTGGGCAGGATGCCCAGCCAGGCGAGTGGCCTTGGCAGGTCAGCGTGAGGGAGAATGGGGAGCACGTGTGTGGGGGCTCCCTGATTGCTGAGGACTGGGTGTTGACGGCTGCTCACTGCTTCAGCCAGTGAGTATTTCCCTAAGGGTCACGTGGGCTGGTGCCAGCTGGACTTTCTCACTTCCCTTCCAGACGCCCTCATCTCTCCATTTAAACTATAACCTCTACCAACTATGACAGGAGACGAGACAGGGCCCTGCTCCTTCAGTATTGAAATGTCTACCTGTTTCTGGGCTGGCTCTGGTGAGTCAGTCACCTAGTCTTATTTCCAAGAATCAACTCTTGGGTGGAGGGGACGGCTCAGAGGGTAGGAGGACTTGCTGTACAAGCATAAGGCCTTGAGTTCAAATCCCCTGCTCAAGGCGAATCTCTGTGAGTTCGAGACCAGCCTGGTCTACAGAGCTAGTTCCAGGACAGGCTCCAAAGCCACAGAGAAACCCTGTCTCGAAAAACCAAAAAAAAAAAAAAAAACCCAACAAATCCCCTGCTCAAATTCACGTAAAAAGCTAGTGTGACCAGTACTGGGTGTGTGTGTGGAGACGGGAGGATCTCTGGGGATAGCAGACCTCCAGTGTAGCTCTTGGTTCTGTGATAAGGTCCGTCTCAAGGTCAAGGTCAAGGGTAATAGAGAAAGAACAGGGCATCTGATATCAATTCTCTGCTTTCTATACATGCACAGGAGCCTTCACACCCACCAACACACCACACACACACAGATACACAGACATGCAGACACAGACTCTAACACACAGACACACACTCACCACACACACCCCAACACACAGACACACACCAACACAAAGACACACACACCACACACCCCAACACACAGACACACACCAACACAAAGACACACACACCACACACCCCAACACACAGACACACACACACCAACACAAAGACACACACACATACCAACATACCCCCACATCCCCACATGCACACACACAGAATCTTGAAAACAGTTCTCTAGAACCCAAGGTCTTTGTGTAAGTATGCATGCATATGTGAAGTGTGTGTTCATGTGTGTGTGCGAATGTGGGCCCAGACACACCTCAGCCAGTGTGTGAAGATCAGACGACGACCTTGGGTGTCAGTCCTTGCTTTTACCTAGCTTTGGGAGACAGGCTCTCTCTTTGGGTCCACTGCTGGGCACACCTGGCTAGTTGGTCAGCAAGAGTTTACTGACTCTCCTGTCTTCACCTCCCTCCTCTCCATAGGACAAGCCAGGCATGACTTTTATGTGGGTTGTGGGCATCCAAACTCAAGTTGTTATGCCTGTACACAAGTATCCTTACACATTGACCCATCTCCCCAGTATCTCAAAATTCCAAGATCTTGAATGTACTCCTCAACAGCCAGGTGGCCTTCTGATGGGTGGCTTGACTTTGCTAGTTGTGTTCCATACCTGAAACATGGAGGACATGATGGTAGACTTATGTTACAAGGATCATTAATGGTGGCCCTTAACAGGGGGTGCTTGGCATTGCTTCCACGTGCTTAGCTTTCAGAAGAGCCCAGCGGCAATATTAGAGCCTCCAAATGAAGATTGTCTTTCATTTTCACCTTTGACCTTCCCATTCTCCCCAGGGAGCAGCCCCTGTCTGCCTACACAGTAATGCTGGGTACCATTTCCTCCTACCCTGCGGCCAATGAGCCCAAGGAGCTGAGAGCTGTGGCCCAGTGTATCAAGCCCTCGAGCTACTCAGAAGATGAGCACAGCAGTGGAGACATCGCCCTGGTGCGGCTGGCTTCATCCGTCTCCTTCAATGACTACATCCTTCCAGTCTGCCTTCCAAAATCTGGAGACTCCCTGGGCCCTGGCACCCAGTGTTGGGTCACGGGATGGGGGAACACCGCCACAAATAGACGTAAGGATGTTTGGTAGCAGGGTAGGGAGAGAGTGGAAATGTGTGTTCAACAAGGGCCAGCCTTGACACTTTCCCCAGCCCCCACTCTCAGACAGGACCCATACAGAGTTATGCGAAGAATGTCCACCGCCAGAGGGTGCATTGAAACATTGCCACAATAGCTCATCACCAACTTGTTGAAGGAGCTGCAGGCCGCGTTCCTACCACCTGGCTCCTGGCCGCCTGGCTAGCTTATGCCCAAAATAACGACACACAAACTGTATTCATATAAACACTGCTTGGCCCATTTCTATTAATGTGTGTAGCACCATGATGTGCGCTTACCAGGAAGATTCTAGCCCACGTCCATCCTGGATTGGAGCTTCATCATGTCTGCCCTGCCGGGAGCAGCGGCATGGCGTCTTAGCTCACTTTCTCTTCCTCCCAGCATTCTGTTCTGTTTACTCCACCCACCTATGTTCTAACCTATGAGGCCAAGCAGTTTCCTTATTAATTAACCAATGACCTTCCTCCATCAACCAACTGGCTGCTGCCAGCCTCCTAACATTTAATCCTCCTAACATTTAAGAACCAGAGGATAGTGTTACAGCCGTCATGGACTGAGGGATGCTGGTCCAGTCTGCACTACAACCTTCCTGCTATCTTTGCTGCTTTGTCCCTGTGGACAGTGCTTACCAGGGGCTAATTGGGGCAGCCTTCACTAGCTGATGGGGTCCTGGTTCTCTTGCCAATGTGCTCTCAAGAGTGTTGGCCTGGTGGGGTTAATGCCAGGGGTCCATGGCCTGATGCCGTCTAAGGCATTTCCATTTTGAACTGTCATTAGCATGGCTCCCATCCCTGCCGTCATAACTGTGATTTCATCTTGTTTTAGTGTCCAAGGCTAAATCAGATAGGTGTTCAGTCTCAGTTCAGGAGGCCAGAAGCCTGAAATGAGAGTATTATCTGACCTCAACTCTTTCAAGGCTCTAGGGAGGACCCCTCTTTGACTCTCAACCTCTGCCAGTGCTGGGTGATCCGTGGTTCTTAGCTGCATCACTCCAGTCTTGGCCTTGGGGTTCACACAGACCTCCACTTCATGAGTCTCCCCAGGTCCCCTCTCTCTGACTGTTAAGGGCCTCTCATCCTGATCCACTGTGACCTCAGTCACATCTACAAGTCTTTTGCTTGATGACAAGGTTACATTCTGAAGTTTTGGGTAGATGTGAATTTGGGGCCACCTTATTTAACCCACTCGGCACCTAAGTCATCTTTGATTTGATATCTGGCATGCTAAGAAGAGCAGGGTCACGTGATGGACGTGACTTGACCACAGGCAGTGTCCTGAAACCAGGTATAGGCTCTTGCTTGTAGTCTTGTGCCCTCACCCCGTGTGCATCCCATTCCGTTGTCTTGATACTGGGAGAGAAGCTGAGACCCACAGAGCCGTCACACATCTGTCTGTGTCCAGCTGGGGGAGGAAGAACCGAGATCCCCGCAGCTTGTGACTGTAAGGGCAAATCTACGTTCTCATCCTGGGATACCACCTTTTCAGAACGTTCAGGATTTCATGTGGGGAAACACGGCTCTGTTGAAGAAGCAGAAGAAATGGCCCCGACCACAGGGTTCAGTTAAACTGTGGAGCTAGGAGGAAATGGAGCATCTTCTTCCTCTAACTCTGCTCTCCAATTCCAGCTCTCCCACCACCATTCACCCTGCAGGAGTTGGAGGTGCCTCTTATTGATGCCCAAACCTGCAATGCCTACTACCAGGAGAACTCCGTTTCCAGCACGGAGCCTGTCATCTTGGAAGATATGCTGTGTGCTGGCTTCGTGGAGGGCGGGAAGGATGCCTGTAATGTGAGTGACTCATACCCAGACAGTGGCCCCTCACCAGTGGGCAGGGCGTTCCTCTCCCATCACACTGAGAACCTTCCAGAAGGACTGGGCATCTCATAACATAAAACAACAGTACCACCACTATCACCAACACACACACACACACACACACACACACACACACACGAGCTCGGGGGAAAAAAAACTCCGATGCTGTCTCCCTTTCAAATATCATATTTGAAGGGCTGGGAAGATGGTCCATTTTTGCATCACAAGCATAAAGAACTGAATTTGAGTCCTCAGCACCCATGTATAAAAAAAAAAGATAAAAGCTGGGTGCGATAGCACAGGTCTATAATGCCATCATGGGGGCTGGTGTGTGTGTGTGTGTGTGTGTATATATATGTGTGTGTGCGCACGCGCAGTGGGACAGAGACAGGCAGCTTCCAGAGGCTCGCTGGCCAGTCAGTCAGAGACCCTGTCTCAGGAAGTAAGGTGGGGAATGAGAGAGGACATCAGTGTTGACCTCTGGCCTCTACGTGCACACACAGGAGGGGACGCACCTCTCCACCACATGCCTCACCTCTCTCAAATAAAATAGAATACATATCATCAGAGTGTGGGGGTGTGGGTCAGTGGTATAGGGTTTATCGAATGTTTGAAAGGCCTTGGGCTCTGCCATTGGTAGAGAAAGGGGGGGGACAGAGAGGGAGGGAGGGAGAGAGAGACAAAGAGAGAGGAAGAGAGACTGAATAAGAGCCTTTGACTGTATTTTCACGAGGAGCCCCCACTTTCAAGCTTATCCTGTCTTGTTTGCTCTTCTACACACCCTGACCGCCAAGTTCCTCTTGATTGCTACTTCAAAGAGATTTCTTTTTTTAAAAATATTTATTTATTTATTATGTTTACAGTGCAGGCCAGAAGAGGGTACCAAGTCTCATTACAGATGGTTGTGAGCCACCATATGGTTGCTGGGAATTGAACTCAGGACCTTTGGAAGAGCAGGCAAAGCTCTTAACCACTGAGTCATCTCTCCAGCCCTCAAAGAGATGTCTAGATAAAGCCAAACAAACTGAAGCAAACAGCATTATCTTGAAATGGCCCCTGCACTCAGCTCTGAACACACAGCTGTGGTGCTTAGAGACAGGTTGTGTGTCCCATTTGCTAGGGGTCCCACTCACCTTCAGTTCTCAGTCACCCAACCCTGTGACTTTCTAGGAACTTCCAATTCATTGATCCTGTATACTCTGATGAAGAAGAGAGCCAGGTGGGACTGGGTTGGAGAGCTTTGTTTTCCTACCTGTGTAATAAAGGCAGCAGGCTCAAGCAACCTCAACACCTTTGGATCCCTTCTTTCTCCCCAGGGTGATTCCGGAGGTCCCCTGGTCTGTGACATTGATGGTGTCTGGATCCAGGCAGGGGTGGTGAGTTGGGGAACCGATTGTGCCCTTCCCAAGAGACCAGGTGTTTACACCAACGTCAGCGTCTATACCTCATGGATTACGAACACAATGTGGAACTCAGCCCTAGAAGTGAAGAGTTTCTCTCCAAGCCTTGCAGGGACCTCAGTCTCTGGCCCGTTGCTGTTCCTGGCATCCCTGGCTAGCACCTTATGCTTCCTGGGGCCCTAACCTGCAACCTCAATATCCAGACCCCTGTATTTGGAACTTTTGTCCTCTCTCTGCCCCCAGGCTATAGCGGCTTCTCTCAGGGACCCCCTTCTTGTGCCCTCTTTGCATAGCCACATAAGTATGCCCTCCGTGGTCTGCTTTCCACGGACCCTCTCCTCACTCCCACAGAGGCCTAAGACCCTTGGAACCATCAGCTAACTCTGGTCTCCTGGCCCCCAGGAGCCCTGAGCAGGGGAAGTCTTTGGATTTCCAGGAGCGGAGGGACAAGAATCTTTCTTGCCTCTCACTCCAGGGCAGAGCCCAGGGTGCAGCCACCTTTCAGGGTATCCTCTGATGGCTTCTGTGACTGGCCTGGTCCCTCTAGAGTGAGCCTGTATCTGAAGCAATAAAAACTGGATGCAGCAGGCATAGTTCCCACTGTGTGGTTTTTCCTGCACGCCCCCACATATGTGTGCGTCACCTGCAGAGTGTCGCTAGGTTCTTGGCACTCTTGTGTGCACATCGCTGTGAGCCCCATCACTCAGAAGCAGGAAAAACGAGGGTTGGAAACTCAAGCTTGTCCAGGTTCTCTTGGCTCAGCATCCTTCCTCCTAGGAATGGCAGAGCAGGGCTTCCTGAGGAGTTTGAGGCCATTGGTAGCACTGGGATACTATCAGGGTCATGAGTAAGGTCTGGGGTGACTTTCAGGCTCATAGGTGGGTGTGAGGTAAATCCGAGGTCATTGGTAGGACTGAAGTGAATCCCAGCATTACTGGCAGGTGTGAGGCCCAATCCCCGGGCTATGAGCAGGGATGGTGGTGGGTCAGGCCTGTGCCTGCCTGGGCTGGGCAGGTGAGATGCCAGCTCACACCTCGATGTGAATAGTTCTGGAAAGGTGACAAGCAGGTGCTGCATTCAGATTCAGCCTCTGTCCTCCCCTGTTCTGTTGCTCCAGAGAAACCTGGAGACTGCCTGGGAATATGATACCTCAGGTGGAGGATGGCCCTCAGGCGGCAGCCCAAGCAGTGGTGGAGGTGTGAGAGAGGGGAGGGAGGGGTAGGAGGTGGGGACAGACTAATTGTGTTTGTGACTGGGAGCCTCAGCCTGCCCCAGGATACCCCTTTGGATCAGTGGTCATACCGTACCCGTAGCCGTTTGAGTCCCCTTTGCCTCAGATCCACATACAGAAGAGCCACCACCAGCCTCAGTTTCCCCCAATTCCTGTCTCTGGTGCTTTATTAACATGGTCACAGGCTCCCCGCTGCAGCCTCCTCTGGTGTGCCTGTGTCCCCAACACTCTTTTTGCCGGCTGTGACAGGAGTGTCAGCCTCTAGAGCTACCCCCCACCCCCGCTGGCTGGTCAGCACCAGGGGCATCCACAGGCACCCTGGGCAGCTTACCTACAGATGGGAACAGGGATTGCAGTGATGATGGTGATGGGGCCGGCCAGCCAGCCCAGCGAGGTAAATGTCTGCTTCCAGATCACTCACTCACTCTGTCAGACATCACTATGATCATGGCATGGTCCCGAGTCTCCTCGGCCTGTCACAGCTGAGGAGCTCTCCCGAACCTCTGGCTTACTGGCTGGAGTACACTGAGGAGTGTGGCCCGCTTTCTCCTCTCCTGAAAGGCTTTCTTTGCACTGCCAGGCCGGGACATGGTTTCCAGAAGTTACTGTCCACTTTCTTAGGAGCCCCATTGGTGGCAGCCTAATGAGACAGAATAGAGGGGTCAGAGAAGAGAGCGCCAATCCCCTCAGAGGGGCTGGGGACAGCCAAGGCTCTTCCGAGCTTCTCATATTTTTCTTGTCAAGACAGGGTTTCTCTGTGCAACTTTGGAGCCTGTCCTGAAACTGTAGATCAGACTGGCCTTGAACTCATAGAGATCCACCTGCCTCTGCCTCCTCAGGTGTGCCTCACCACCATCCAGTGAACTTCACAGATTCTGTCCAAAGAGGAATGTCTGAGGCCGGCTGAAAGCTCTGGCACGGCCACTCCGAGGCAGGTTACCTCATTTTATCTGCTCCCTTAGCCAAAGCACCTTGGCCCTAGGGACTCTGACAACCTGTACCTTCCTTTTCCTTTTCCATTTCCCCAGTTCTTTTTTGGTTTTTGGGTTTTTTTTGGGGGGGGGTTGTTTTGTTTTTGCTTTTGTTTTTCAAGACAGGTTTTCTCTGTGTAACAGTCTAGCTATCCTGGAACTAGCTCTTGTAGACCAGACAGGCCTTGAACTCAGAGATCCGCCTGCCTCTGTCTCCCGAGTGCTGGGATTAAAGACGTGCGCCACCACCACCCGGCCTTTCCCCAGTTCTTTCTTCATCATCAACCCTTCAACTAAGCAGATATTCATCCGGCAAACACATCCCACATGGCGCTCACCAGGGGAGATCTTTCTGGCTCTTTAGTTTGGGGCAGCAGGGTAGATGGTTTGTAGGGTCTCTAGGGTTCATTTTTGTTATGATCAGGGTGCAGGGACCCTGCCGAGGAGATGCCGCTAGCACAGGGATCAGAAGGCCAGGAAGGTGCCCCTTCTGTAGCTGTCTGGTCTTTCCCTACACGATGGACCTGCTCCCCTAGCCTGCTGCCTTGGACCCATTCTGCCCTGGAGTGTCTTGGCCAGCTTCTATGCCCACTGGCCCTTTCTTGGCAGGAGGATCAGAGGACAAGCATGTTAAGTTAAGGAGACCTTGGCTGTTGCCACACCAGCACCTTTTGGGGTCACCATTTGGGAATGCTCCCCAAAGTGCCTCCTGGTGGGATCCCTGGGTGATTGCTCCTGCCTTGCCACCAAGCTTAAGGCTCAGAACTCCCAGGAAGTAGATCCCCTTGACAGTAGAAATGCCTAGACCAGAGAGAGTCCCCGAAGGCAGGCTGGGGAATATGCCGTTCTCCCAATTCCGCTATGTCCTGGAGGAAGTGGGGGCTCAAGACACACAAAAGACATTGAATGGGGATATACCCTGTGGTCATTAATCTTTTTTATTTATTTCTTGAGACAAGATTTCTCTATTACGTAGCTCTGGATGTCCTGGAGTTCACTGTGTAGACTAGGGTAGCCTTGAACTTACGGAGATCTGCCTGTCCCTACTGGGATCGCAAGTGTGTGCCATTACACCCCGCCATCACAAGTGTGTGCCATTACACCCCGCCATCACAAGTGTGTGCCATTACACCCCGCCATCACAAGTGTGTGCCATTACACCCCGCCAGTGATGGTAAATCTTAACATTTAGCTAGATTATAGGTAGCAAATATTTTTCTGGGTGTATCTCTGAGGGCATTTCCAGAGATAATTTGATCTCCAGGGGTCTGACCTAAGGAATGAAGCAATCCCTTGATAGATTTATAACATAATGGCATTATTAGGAGATGGTAAAAATAGATGTGGTGGGCCATGTGGTGGTGGCTCACGCCTTTAATCCCAGCACTCGGAAGGCAGAGGCAGGTGGATCTCTGTGAGTTCGAGGCCAGCTTGGTCTACAGAGTGAGTTCCAGGACAGGCTTCAAAGCTACATACAGAGAAATGCTGTCTTGAAAAACAAAAACAAATGAACAACAACAACAAAAAAAAAAATAGGTGTGGTGATTTGAACAAGAATAGCCCTCATAGGCTCATGTATTTGAATACGTGGTTCCCCCATTAGTAGCAATGTTTGGGAAGGATTAGGAGGCGTGGCTTTGTTGAAGGAGGTCTGTCACAGGCGGTGGGCTTGGAGGTTTCAAAAAGACTCCACCATTCCCAGTTAGTTCTTTCTGCCTCATGTTTATGTCTCAAGATGTGAACTCTCGGCTGCTGCTCAGGCACCATACCTGTCTGCCTGCAGCTATGTTTCTGCCGCAATGGTCATGGCCTCTAGCCCTCTGAAACTGTAAGCCCCAAATAAACACTCTTTCCTGGAAATTGCATGGGTCATGGTGTCTTATCCCAATATAAAAAGCTAACTATCTGAGTTGGTGGCTGAGACCCAGCAGGAGGAATGGTTTTACTGGGGCACTGTCCTTTTAGGGCTGTATCTTGCTGTCTTTTTTTTTTTTCTTTGCTTTCTGCCCTCCGTGATGTGAACTGTTGTGCTCTACCATTCTGTCCCTGCCAGTGCAGCCTGTTGGGTCTCAAACTGTGCGTTGATACAAAACCTTCCTCCCTCATGTTCTGTTTGGTGTTTTGATTATAACAAGAGGAAACTAATACAGACCTCCTCCAGGGGTCACAGGTCTCTGGGATCCTGAGATGGACAGCCCAGTGGTGTCTCTTTTGCTTTCATACACTTTTCTTGACCCCTGGACAAGAAAGCTACTAATGAATTAGTCAGTTTATTATTATGTATGTGCATGGTGTGCCGTATTATACTGCCGCAGCCAAGGGTGGCGGTCAGGGGACAGCATGGTGTGCGGTGTTACACCCGTCGCAGCCAAGGGTGGTGGTCAGGGGACAGCATGGTGTGCGGTGTTACACCCGTCGCAGCCAAGGGTGGTGGTCAGGGGACAGCATGGTGTGTGGTGTTACACCTGCCGCAGCCAAGGGTGGCCGTCAGGGGACAGCATTTTGCAGGTTTGTTCTCCCCTTTTACCTTTAGGTGGGTTCCAGGATCAAACTCAAATCGAAAGACTTTTCCCAAGTGTGTCCAAGGCAGCATCAGCCTTCATCAGTATTTAATCCAGGGAGGCTGGAGTGAGGCTCGGTGGCGGTGCTCTTGCAGAGGACCCAAGTCTGGTTCCCACCATCCACATCCATCTCCAGCTCTAGGGGATCTGATGTCTCTGGAGTCTGGGGGCACCTACACTCACATACACATACTCCTGACTCCCCACTTATATACATCATTTCACAAAATCCCTAGGTATGGAGATGGCTCAGCAGTTAAGAGCACCCGTTCTTTCAGAAGTCCTGGGTTCATTACAGATGGTGTAATGGCAATTCCCGGGATTTGATGCCTCCTTCTGGTTTCCGCTGGTTCCATATATGCATCCCTACTGGCACAGGGAGTTGTGAGATGCCCAACACCGGTGCTGGGAACTGAACTTGGGTCTTGGGGAGAGAAATACGTGCTATTAACCACTGAGCCATCTCTCCTGACCCATAAAATAAAAATGCCTTAAAAAAATCAATTCATATATAAGAAAATATAGAGGACTATTTGGGGAGAAGGAAGCAGAATAAATGGAGGAGAGGGAAGAGAGGCTGTATGTTGAAATAGGGGCGGCAGGGCTGCGTCCCCAGCACCCAGCCGCCCGCATTGGCTAGCTTATGCCCGAAATAATTACACGGAAACTGAATTCTTTCAAACACTGCCTGGCCCGGCTAGTTCCAGCTTCTTATTGGCTAGCTCTTACATATTGTTCTAACCCATTTCTAATATTCTGTGTAGCCCACGAGCTGGCTTACCAGGGAGGATCTTAACCTGCGTCTGTCTGGAG